CGCTCGCAGAGAGCAGGTCAGATCCTGTCTTTATTGAAAATGTTATTTTGTTCATCACAATTTTTTGCACTAATTTACGTTTTAAAAAAATATTTCCCTTGATTAATGCAGTATTGGGGACTCCCTTACGTGTTGCACGTGTGAGAGTGCCTCACTTGGCGCCCCCCCCCCCCCCCAGCCCAGGCCTTGCACACCCAGCTTTCAGATGGCCCCATCCGCCCATGACTCCCTTGAACCCCTCGCTTGCAGAACTCTGCCCACGGGTCCTGGGACCTCTCCTTCCTGCCTGGGGTGGCACAGCTGGCCCCAGCTTTGCTTCTCTCCCCCACCCGCCCCTCGGGATGCAGGCTGGGGCTGTGTACCCCTGGTCCTCACACTTTGGAAGCAGGGGACTGCGGGCTCTTTTCTCCGGACAAAGCGCTGCCTGGGAAGATCAGAGACTGCAGAAAGGTCATTTAGGTTTGATGATCTGTCGCTATCCGCGTGAGCCTATGAAAGCTCAGAACCTTTCCGAGCTTCTGCTGGTGATCTGCAAAACGGGTCAGTACTTCCCAAGACCGCCCAGGACCCTGCGCTAAGTCCCAGCCCCGGCCTGGCGCCAGCTCCGAGCTGCAGCCACTTTAAGCCTGGGCCAGCACTCTGGTGGCAGGGTGACCACCTGGTACCTGAGCCTCTAACGGCACCCGGAGCACCTGCTCCCGGGTCTGCTGGGCTCAGGAGCTCCTAACGCCAGTCCTGGCGAGGAGTCGCTGGTATTCCCGGGTGCGTCATGGCACGGGGTATCGGGGTATCTGAAAAGGGGGAGCAGATGTTCGGAATCCTGCTCTGGTTTCAGCCTCAGGCTTGGCGGCTCAGGCATTCGCAAGTCCCGGGCCTCCCTCCCTCCCTCCGGGGTCCGGGCCGGGGCCGCGGCGGGCAAGCCGCTACCTGCGCGCGTGCCGGGCATTCCTGCGCCGCGCCCGGCGCCATGGGCCTGATGCCGGCCGCGCGGGCCTCCTCCGGGCGCGGGGGCCGCGCCTGCCCGCCGCCCTGCCGCCTGCCCTCCTGCTGCGCGCCCGCCGCCCCAGGTAGGCGCCCGGCCGGTGCGGCGGCCGAGGGAGGCGGGAGGGGGCGCGGGACCGGCGGCAGGAGCCGAGGCGGGCGCGGCGGGCGCGGGGAGCCGGTGCCCGCGGACCCCGAGCCGAGCTCGCGCGCCGCGGGGAGCCGCAGAGGCCGAGGCCGGGCCGGGCGCCTCCTCCCGGTGCGGTCCGCGCAGAGTGGAGCGCGCAGCGCGCAGGGTTTGCGTGGGCGCCTTTGCCGCCGCCCAGACAGGGGACCCGGACCCAGACCCAGCGGGACGGTGCCCGGGCTCCCCACCCCGCGCCGGGTTGCGCCCACCTTTGCTCCAGGGCCTCGGACAGGCTTGGAGCTGGCCCCACCTCCGGGGCTCGCTCTGGCAGGAGCCCTGAGATGATGTTTGCCTCCGGGATTCTCTCTCCTGCGCTGACTTCAGCCTGATGGTTGGCGAGGCCTGGATGGATGGGCAGGAAGAGGCAGGGGAGGGTTTTCACAGGGAGGAAGGAACTGCCCTGGAGGTCGCTCTGAGCCGCAAGCACCTAGCACAGCCTGGCACGGGCACGGCTGTGAGGGGTGGAAGGTGGGCTTCCACTCGGTGGGTGGGTGGGTGCAGGGAGAAGGACGCTGCCTTGGGGAAGGCAGGGGAGAGAGAGAAAGGGTTGCCCAGACTTCGGGGATCTTTGGAGAGAATTTTAGCATTGTTTTTCTCATTGTGTCTTCCTCGACTGGACTTCCACAAAACGTCTCTGCTCAGGAGCAGCTGCAAGAGGGAATCCAGCTGTCTGCCTCTCCTGGGGGGCCGGGGGTTGGGGTGGGGCAGGCAGAGCCCCACTCAGAAGGACATGCTTACCCAGCACTGCCTCGGCTGCGGGGTGGGGTGTGCTGGGCTGTGCTGGGCCACTCGCAGCCCCACAGGGTGACAGGGACGACAGCCGGAGGGCACTCAGCGCAGAGCTGGGCCGGCGGCCTTGGCTTGCAGGCACCCACTCCTGCCGGGGTTCCGGGGGAGGCCGTGGGGCCAGGCTTTGTGAGAGAGCAGCGGGCAGGCAGGAGGCCCGGCTCGGAGCCCTCAGCAGGTTCGCCCGGAGAGGCAGCCTCCGGGTTCTCTCAGGGCTGAGCTGGCGCTTTGTGAGCAGCGTGGGCCGGGGCCTCGAGGAACCTGCGTGCGGCTTGGTTTCCAGGATCTGATGAACCTGGAACGGGTTCTTGGCAACACTGCCCCTCCAAGATGTGCCAGGAGGGCTGAGGGAACTCCGTGCAGCCGCTCCGGGCCTGCCAGCTCTGCCAGAGAGACACCGGAGGGGGGTGGGGTGTGTGAAGCAGGCGAGGGCTCTGGGCGGGGGAGCCAGGCTGAGCCTGAGCCCAGGGCGCTCCAGGAGGAGGTCGTTGGGAAGGATGTCCGGAGGCTGAGCTGGATGAGGCTTCCCCCGGGGCTCCCCAAGGCAGCTCCCTACAAGGGTGGCGGGTGGGGCCGCCACGTGGGAAGCCTGCTCCATGTGGTGAGGCTGACTCCAGGGGTGGGGTCAGCCTCACTCAGCCAGGGGCCAGGGTCAGGTCCTGGGGTAGCTCCTAAAGATGGGTGTGATCACCCCCATTTTCTAGGTGGAAAAACTGAGGCCCAGTGAAGGGGGGCACTCTGCTCCTCAACTGCTTAGCCAGGATCTGCACCGAGACCAATGCAGAGGGAGGCGTGGAACCCTTGTCTCTATGGCTTTGGCCTTGACCATCATCTTAGCACTTGGAGGGTCTCTGGGGGAGGCGCCTCATTCCCGAGGGCCCCCGAGCTGCATGCGGGGTCAGTGCTCACATGGCCACGGTCCTCGCAGGCCAGGGCTGCTGTTCGCCCCGCCCCTTCAAGCACCATCCCTCAGGCCCACTTGCCAGCTCTGCGGTCATCAGACCCTTCCCACGTCTGCCTTTGGGCCTCTGCTCAGTGCCATTTCCCTTCCCACCAGCGCCTGTGGCGTCCCTTTCCTGGCTCACAGCCCTGTTCAGGGGCAAGGAGAGGGCCAGGAGGCTTCCTGGCCGGTGCTGGTGTGCTGAGGAGATGATTAGAAAGCCGGGTACCATGCACGGTGGGGCTGGCTCGAGGCAGCTGCCTTCTGCCTGGCCCCGCTGTGCACCCAGAGGCTGGTGGAGGGGGTCGGGCAGGGCCTGGCCTGCCAGTCAGCTTTGAACTTGATCCTGGGCAGTGGTTGTGGGGGAGGTGGGAGGCAGCAAAGGGTTCCCAGCAGAGGAGGCCTGATATAATCCCCATGTTCCAAGTCCCATGGGCAGCTCTGAGGCTCTAACACCCACAGAGCTGGGGCCCACGTGTGAGGGTAACGGGGGTTTGGAGGGCGAGAGGGACAGGCAGAAACACGTCTTGGGGATGGGGGACAGAGCAAGGTGGCTGGCTCCAGCGGAAGCTGGGTGTAATTACTCAAGGTTTGTGGAGCTCCGGAGGGAACTGAGGAATTGTTTTTCTGCCTCCTTCCCCTGGCGGTGGCCTCCGGCAGCTCAGGGCTGAGAGAGTGGAGCTGAATACATGCCCATTCTTCCCTCGGCGCCCTTGACCTCTGCTCTGAGCCCAGCAGCTCCGGCTAGGGAGAGGGAGGGCCCGTGGGGAACTAGGCAGGCCAGTGTCTTCGTGTCAGCTGTGATGGGCGGCGGGGACGGGGCAGTGGTGTGTGAAGGGAGCACTGGGACAGCTCGCATGGAGGTGCACTGGAACTGTTCCCAAGGCGAATAAGAAGTTCACCAGCGAGAGAGGAACGAGCTAGCCAGGAGGAGCCTGGGCTCTGCGGGGGCCAGGCAGCAGGGATGTGGGTGGCAGGACAGGACACTCAGTGGTGGGAGAGCCCAGGCTAAGGGACCTGGGCCTGAGCAGACAGCAGGCAGGGAGGGTGCAATGCCAGGCTCCTGCCTCTCCTCAGGGACCCTGTGCTCATGGCAGTTCCCCTGTATGTCCTCTGACTGTTCATTTAAGGTCCTGACCCAGTGCCCTTGGGAGACACCGTGGCCCACAGGTCAAAGCAGCAGAGGAGGACGGTGTGGGTTGGGTGTGGCAGGGACCATGGAGAAGGAGCAAGTGCCCAGGATCTCAAAGGGCACAGGTGCCACCGAACTCCACCAGTGCTGCCGTTAGGGAATCACACACACACACACACACACACACACACACACACGCCCACATGCACAAACATATAATACATGCACAGCAGTCCATGTGTACATGCATGCACACACACACTTCTTCCCAAAGCTTCGGTGGCATTGTCAGGCACACTCCGTGAGCACGTTTTCTCGAAGGGTCTGTCGTCACCCCGCAGGCTCTGTGTGCTGTGCGAGCAGGGTGAGCCCTGTCCAGCTGATGTGTCTTGTTTCAGAATCCCCATGGTGTAATTTGTAATTTTCTGTTTTTAAATAGCAGCCAGCAGGGTGGGGTGGCGGCACCTCGTTGTGTTTTGATTGTGTTTCCTGACGCTCCGGACGGTGGCGTGGTTTTGTTCTCACTTGAACGCGCTGTCTGTCCTGCGTGAGCCCGCATTGCTCCCTGGAGTCGGGGCACCAGGCGCGGACTGAGGTCTCTGCTGATAGGTTTCCCATTTGAAGGAAGTGCAAGGCATGCTGCTAAGAACGTTCTAGAGCTGGACTTTGGTGAACGTAGCCTTTTCTTTGTTTAGTGTAAGCCACTCCTCTTTGGACGTTAGTGCTGCATAAATAAGACAATCAATGAAATGCACAGTGTGTCTTCCCTGAGGCCCCGCAGAGGCTGGTCCTGCCCCACAGGGCCAGGCAGGCCGCCGTGCACCGCGCCCCCTGCCCCCTGCTCCCCGCTCCTGTGGCCGGATGCGCCTTGATTTCTAACCCACTGCCTCGGACCAGCTGCCTCCCGCTGTCCCGGGAGCGGCTCTCACCACCGAGCCGGCTGCTGGCATGTGACCGGGTCCTCCCTGTGCCAGGGGTCTTCGGGCAGCGCCTGGAGGACACCGTGCACCACGAGCGCAAGTTCGGGCCGCGCCTGGCGCCGCTGCTGGTGGAGCAGTGCGTGGACTTCATCCGGGCGCGCGGGCTCAGCGAGGAGGGCCTCTTCCGCCTGCCCGGCCAGGCCACGCTGGTGCGGGACCTGCAGGACGCCTTTGACTGCGGGGAGAAGCCGCGGTTTGACAGGTGAGCTCCTGGGCCGGGAATGAAGATGGCCTCCCCGTCCCCGGGGCGGGGTGGGCTGGGGCCAGGACGCCTGGCAGCAGGCTGGGGGCAGAATGGTTGTGTGTGGTTGCGTGTGCGGTCCGCCAGCCCCCAGCGGGCAGAGCACAGCCCCACCCAGGTCTCCTCCCAGGGACAGTCCTGCCACAGAGCCCGCTGCCCACGTCCAGGCAGGCAGGGAGGGCCTCCTGCTGGTCGGACTGCGGCCCCGTGGTCTGTCCCTGGCCCCGCTCCCCGAGGCCCGCAGGCTCCTGCCCTGCCAGGATGGAGCGGTCGCTGTGGCCCCCCATCCTCTCAGGTTTCCAGATGGGAGCGGTCGCCCCACCTGTCCAGGCCAGCGCCCACCTTAACCCCTCGCTGGGGCTCACCCTCCGGGTGGGGTCAGCCTCACTCAGCCAGGGGCCGAGAACAGAGCGGATGGGCTGTGTGGGCGTCTCCCTCTGAAAGGAACCGGCCCATCGGGACAGTTGTTCGTGGGGGGCCCTCCTGCCCTGGCCTCCAGGAGCTCCTGCCCTTTCTCCGTGGATCTGCCTTCATGAGGCGGCCCCCTGGGCCCCAGGATGGGTCCAGGGGCTTCTGTCGGCACCGGGGCCTCCCTGGCCTCCTTTTGGGCGAGACACCCCCACCCTCCAGCTTCTGCCCAGACCCGTCGCCGAGCCAGCAGGGTCTGTCAGCTCCTTTCTTAGATGTGGAGCCTGAGACTGGCTGCCGTTCCCCAGAGGGGTCTGCCCTGGAGGCACAGTCCCCTCACCGGAAGCCTCGCCTTTTTTTTGTTAACCCATTTCCCATTGATTTTCAGAGAGTGGAAGGGAGGGGGAGAGACAGAGAGAAACATCGATGTGAGAGAGACACATTGATTGGTTGCCGCCTGCACATGCCCTGACTGGGACCGGGGATCAAGTGTGCAACCAGGGTATGTGCCCTTGACTGGCATGAACCCACAACCCTTCAGCCCATGGGCCAACACTCCAATCACTGAGCCAAAGCGGCGAGGGCTGGAGCTGCATCCTGCTTCTCTGAACTTGTGGTCCATTCCGAACCTCTGCCTGCCAGGCCTTGTCCAACCTGTGCCTGTGCGGTCCAGGGGATGGGTGGAGATGGCTTTCAGTGCTGCCCCTTCTGCAATTCCCGGGACTTAGCCTGGACCTGGGCTCCTTCCTTTCTAGAAACTGCATCTGCACCCCCTGCCACTGTTCTCCCACTTCTCACCGGCTGTGGGTGCTCTGGCTGAGCCAGCAGGGCCTGTCAGTTCCTTTCTGCAGATGTGGGGCATCTGGACCCACCCCTGTCTAGGACCCAAGGCCCCCTCCTCATTCACTCCCCCCTCCCCTAACCACCTGCTGAGCCAGGCCTTCCCGAGAGGCCTCGCCCCCTCGGCACAAACCCTACTCATGTCAGGTCCTGGGCTCCCTGCTCCACAAGGAGCCCAGCAGCCTGGAGCCTGGTCACCAGAGCTGGCCCGTACCCAGCCCTCCCCACCCTGGGCCTGGGCCTGGGCGGGGCAGCTCTCCCGGGCCTGCCCCCTGCCCTCACCACCCAGTCTGCTTTGAGCCACACCTGCCGACTCCACTGACTCGCCTCAGCCCATTCTGACTTCACTCCGGGTCCTTTCCTCACCGCGGAGTGAGCGACTGTGGGCACAGGGTGTGGCCAGAACTAGACAGACCAGGTCCTGCCCTCCAGGGGCCAGGGCAGATGGCCAGCAAGCAAACGCAGAAACGCTTTGCTTGCCAAGACGAGGACCAGACGGGATCCCAGAGCCCAGGGCCTGCCCTCCACAGGGCCCCTCAGCCTGGGCAGCTCTGAGCTGGAAGCCGGAGACTGAGGACTGGGATTGGACACGTCGGGAGCTGGGATACTGGGGTGCTAGAGATAGGGTGAGCACAGAAGCACAGGTGTCCATTGTGTGAGCGGAGCCCAGAGGTCAGGGGCAAGGGTCTGACCTCTGACCTGCATGTCCTGGTGGCCAATGCCCTGGGCCTTGACTCTTTGACATGGCCCTCCTCCTCCACTGATGTTTTTCTCTGTCTCTCCCTGTCCCTTCCACTCTCTAATGAGGACAGGTGAGGGATGGGCACACTCAGGCTTGATCCCTGGAGGGCAGGACCTTGTGTGTCTAGTTCGTGGCCACACCTTAAGCTCCCCCCCCCCCCCCTTCTGGGAGCAGGGCAGCTCCCAGGTCACCTTGTAAAGGACCCAAAGAAGGGGACTCTTCATGCCCCTGGTCCTCTGTGGCTCCTCCCACCCAGCGCAGCCCCTGTGGGAGCAGCTGCGGCTGCAGGGCGTGAGTGCTGGGGAGTCCCACTGCCGTCCTGACGACAGACCCAGACCTGCGGCCAGGGGCTGGGAGCAGGGGCCCGGGCTGTGGGTGTCTGATCTGGACCCCAGTCCCAGGCCACCCAGGCCCTGGAGCACGGCTCCTGGCAGCAGCTGGGCCTTTCCTGGACCAGGGCCAGTGGTGCAGATGCAGTGTCACCCCCTTCCCCCTTTTGTTGTGCACATGCGCACACACAAGTGCCCGGGCATGGAGGGAGCTGCTCCTGGGCATGTGCGGGCCTCCTGCAGTCCCCGCCCCACGCCTCTCACGTGTCCCCCGGCAGCACCACAGACGTGCACACGGTGGCCTCCCTGCTGAAGCTCTACCTGCGGGAGCTGCCCGAGCCCGTGGTCCCGTTCGCCAGGTACGAGGACTTCCTCAGCTGCGCCCAGCTGCTCACCAAGGACGAGGGGGAGGTTAGTGGCTCCTGAGGATGTGCCCTGGGAGGTGGGCCTGCGCGGTGTGTGTGTGTGTGTGTATGGCGGGCGGGGGGCGGGGGGGCGCGGCGGAAGGGGAGACAGGAGAACCCTCTGGACAGTCAGGCTCCTCTCGTCCTGTGTGGGGCGGTCTGCAGGCTCCTGCTGGGGCGGGGCTGGGGCAGCCCCTCTGGGGGGCCCTCCCCGGGAGGCCTGGGTTTGGGGTGGGGCATGGGGCCATGCTCCGGTCATGCCCCAGGACAGCACACAGTAGGTACAGAGCTGCACTTACCTGCACCACCCATGCGGCCCAGCTTTCAGGAACAGCAGACCTTCCCCTGTTCCCCGTCCACTGCCCCTTTCCTAAAGGACTCCGGGACAGGGGCCCCACCCCTCCGCAGGTGCCTGCCCCGGAGGGCGGTTTGCCCTCCCTGTGGCCGTGTGGGATGAGGGGTCTTTATCTGGCAAATATTTGTGTCTCGATAAGCACTGGCCCTGACATTCCTTCAGGAGGTCATAGCCTGGCTGCTCCAAGCCTGCTCCTGGGAGGGAGGTGGAGGTGGCGGTGCCCTCTGTCACCCAGGGGCCAGATGGCTGGCTGGAGGTCTGGCCTCAGGTGCCTGCCGCCCCTGCCCACCTCCCTCCTCCGTGCCCACCTCCCTGTCCCTGCCTCGGTGAGAGAAGGGCCAGCTGCTGGTCTCAGAAATGCTGTTTTTCTCTCCCAATACCAAGGGGACTCTGGAGTTGGCCAAACAAGTGAGCAGCCTTCCCCTGGCCAATTACAACCTGCTCAGTTATATCTGCAAGTAAGTGGCTGGGGCAGGCAGGGGCTGGGCGTTCTCCCACCGACATGCTCCCTGGATGTCAGCCAGCGACAGGGACAGGGGCGCACTCAGCCGGGGCACACCCAGGGAGTCTCCGCGGGCAGGCAGCGTTCCGTCCCCGCGAGCCGCACCAAAGACCATCGGAAAGAACGGGCGTCCCGTTCTGTGTGCTCTCAGTGCCTCTCGCAGCCCCTCCCGGGAGTCTGCTCCGGACCATGACCCCAGCTCAGGCGCTGGGAGAGGGTGCAGGGGGCCCTCGCCCAGTCCCGGGCTGGGGCCTGAGCCTCCCGGACCTCCGCCCCCACTGCAGGCGGGACAGCTGTGTGTCTGCCTTCCACGCTGACGACCACTGGCTTTTGCTTCTGCTGCTCCCACCCCGGGCCCAGGGGATGCGCAGCTGGCTGTGCCGGTGCTGGGACATGTGGGCGCGGCTGGGTGTGGGCGCTCCCAGCAGAGCTGGTGGCAGGATTTGTTCTTCCCCACTTGGCAGGTTCCTGGATGAGGTTCAGTCCCACTCAGATGTCAATAAGATGAGTGTCCAGAACCTGGCCACCGTGTTCGGACCGAACATACTCAGGCCACAGATCGAAGACCCGGTAACCATCATGGAAGGTAACGGGCGTGAGTGTGGGGGGTGCCCACGTCCCTGGAGATGTCCCCGCCCGTGCCCGAGCACACAGATGGCCTGGCTTTGCATCCTCGGCTGCCGGCCCCGCCCGCCAGGAGCTCACCGCTGTCTTCCTGGGCACCGTGCCCGCTCTGCCTCCTCCCGCCCGTCGGATGGAGCGGGCTGGGTGGCTGTCCAGGGGGCACTCTGGGCAGGACCCTCTGTCAGGGCCTGGATCTGGAGGCTGGCGATGGCACGCTCTTGCTGGGTTCTCTCTTGAGGCACAGCCTGCTTCTGGACTGCAGGCAGAGCCGGGCCCTGGGTCCAAGCCACAGCACCCCTGCCTGGCCTGGGAGCCCGGCCTGGAGCGGCCACAGCCAGCCTCTGTTCCGCTTCCTGGCAGGCACGTCCCTGGTCCAGCACCTGATGACCGTCCTGATCCGCAGTCACAGCCAGCTCTTCAGTGGGAGGGTCCCTGAGGGGCCGGCTGCGCCCCACGCGGGCCCACCCTGCACCGTGGGCTGGGGCTCGGAGGAGGCTCCGGGAGACAGCCAGGCAGAGCCCGGGGGCCCCCGCCTGCCCTCACTCAGGACCTCGTCCCTGGACGGGGCAGCGGTCGCCGCGCTCTCCAGAAGCTCCCCCAGGGGCCGCGGGGGCCGCCCTGCCGCCCGGGGCACTGGGAAGCGGCTGCAGACTCTGCCCGGCTGGAAGGCCTTTCGGCCATCGGGGTCTCGGTCCGGCAGCTCGTCCCCGGAGGCGCCCACAGCCTCCTCCGGCGGGAACTGGCTGGTGAATGGGCTGTCCTCCCTGCGCGGCCACCGCCGGGCCTCCTCGGGGGACAGGCTCCAGGATGGCGCTGCCCAGAGGCTCTCCACCTACGACAACGTGCCTGCGCCCAGCCCCGGCCCCGGCCCCAGCGAGTGCAGCCTGGCCTGGTCCGGGGGCTCCTCCTGCGGGGCCTCCTCCGGGGGCTCCGTCAGCAGCTGCTCCGCCTGCCGGGCCAGTGACTCCGCCTGCAGCTCCCTGCACCCCGAGGGCACCCCCGAGCCCTCCCCGGCCCCCAGCAGCAGCGAGGAGCTCCGGTCCCCGGACCCAGGGCGCAGCCTGGAGGAGGCGGCCGTCTGCCTCAGCAGCAGCGAGCCCAGCGAGCCCTGCAGCCCGGCCCGCGCCCCCGCACCGCCCTCCGCGGCTCTCCAGGGCCTGGTGGCCGAGCTGCGGGCGGAGCTGTGCCGGCAGAGGACCCAGCACGAGCTGAGCGTGAGGAGGTGAGGGCTGCGCTGCGGGGGTGGGCCTGGGAGCCAGGGCCCTGCCTCCGCTCTGAAGGAAAGCCTCCGGGAGGCGGAGGCAGCACAGGGAGCCCTAGAAGCTGCCTTTCTGGGGGAGCCTGGAGGCTGAGGTCTGTGTCCTGAGCTCCATGGACACTTGATGAAGGAAGGAGACCCCCAGGTGGAAGGGCTGGCAGGAGGCGGGCCCAGGTGTGCTTGCTCACGGGATGCCCCCAGGTCATGCAGAGCCTGGGCAGCCTGGCCAGGGCTGGGCTGTAGCCGCTGATCAGAGGGGATGGGAATGGGATTTCCCGGAGGGAGGGAGCTGTGCTGTATCTTAATCCCTGCCAGCCCTCCTCCATTCTCCTGCCCTGTGAGGAGGTGTTGCCAGCTCAGAGCCAGGAGGGCCAGCCAGGGCACCAGCAGAGCATGAGGTGGGCGCTCCCCACAGCGTCCCCAGTCCCCAGTCCCCAGTCCAGCTGTTGGGCCTGCAGGCCCTTCCCACCCATGGCCAAGTGGCTCTGGGCTTCCCTCTCCACCAGGGACAGGGGGATGGAGGGAGGGAGGGAAAGAGGGAGAGATTCCCACCGGGAGCTTCAAAGGCAGCGTGGCCTGTGCCTGGGGAAGCCAGGTCCTGACACCTGGGAGTCAGGCGTGTGAGGGTGTGTCCTTGAGGGTAGATGACAAGAGAAGGGCTCAGGACAGATGCCCTGAGGATGGTCAGAGGTCTCATCTGAACAGGACTGAGGCCGAGAGGGTGGAGCGAGGAGAAAGCACAGCAGGAGAAAGCCCTGGCACACGCTTGGCGGAAACCCTAGAGGGAAGCGAGTAACTGGCAGCACCGAGGGCAGATGTGCGGCTGCGGGCGGCATGCAGGGAAGCTGGTACAGGCCGGTTGCCGCCACAGCCTCAGAGGTCTGATCAGCTCCTCTCAGGGGCTGGCTTCTCTGGAAACGGTATTGCATCGTGTGGGGCGTCAGACCCTGGGGTGTCCCTGCCGGCCGCAGACTGACAGACAGCGTCCAGGGAGGCTCCGGTGCTCCGGGGACCCCATGCATTGCCATGAGGATAAAGTGACACCTGGGGCAGTGGTCAGTGCAGAGACCGCTCCTGTCCCCACTGCCCGGTGGGCTGGAGGGGAGAGCAGGCCCGCAGGCAGGGCAGCGGCGCTGTCCCGCCAGGCCCGGGCCGCAGGCGGGTGAGTGGGCAGGGCCTCTGGGTGCAGGAAGGAGTGGGGTGCCATCAGTGAGCCCTTGGAGAGTCTGTGACCCCAGACCTGCGGAGTTAGAGCCAGCTTGGGTGGGGGGCATGGACTCAGCTTTCTGCCCGGCCTCCCCGGGCCCTGATCCCTGCACCCCCAGAAGAGCGTCTGATGTGCCACAGTGCTGGGTGCTGGGCACTGGGCACAGCTGTGACCAACACGGATCTCCATCGCTGTCCTCACCTGATGGCGCAGCTGTGGGGCACAGAGAGCCTGCACACAGAGTATAAAGCACGTGGGCTGTTAGAACGGGGGGGGGGGGGGGGGAGGTGTGGGGAGAGGGCTGGGGAGGCGCTCCCGTGAGGGCAGCTGCAGAAGCCAGGGCGAAGAAGGGTTGGAGCTGAGTGGCAGGCAGGGCTAGCGTGGTGGCTTGTTGGAGTGTGAGGAGGGGGCGGGGCAGAGGGCAGGACCACGTGGTCAGAGCATGCCTGGATTTTCCACAATTCGGTTCTGAGTGACCGGAGGCCTGGAGCACTGGTCACTCGGAGGGGTGCCCTGACTGTTCTCCTGAGGACGCACCCAGGCAGGAGACCATGGTGTCCATGGCCTCAGGGGCAAGCAGTGAATGGGGAGAAGAGCCAGATGCTAGACATATTGGGGAGCTTTGCTGATCAATCCACTGTAGGGTAAGAAAAACAACTGATTTCAGGACATTTTTTTGGCCAAGTAATCAGAGGAGGTGCTCACTGAGGAGCAGGTGTAGGGACAGTGGGAGCAGACAGGCTCAGCTGCAGGCCTTAAAGTTGGGGACACTTACTTAGTTGGAGTGGAGTCGAGGGACAGAGAGGCCGAGAGCCTGAAGACTGGACAGGTCGCTGGTCTTCAAGTGTCATGGGGGTGGGAGGTGGGGGCAGTCAAGTGTGAGGGCCCCGCTGGTGGGAGGCATTGGTGTGAGGGCCTGGGCCTGGAGAAGTGAGGGGTGTGGTCTGTGCTGCCTCCTGGGGGCCTTCTCTCTGACAGCATGTCCTGCCTGCTCTGTGCGTGTCTGCTGGCTGAGCCGGAAGCACGGGAGCTGCAGTGCCAGGAGGTGTCCCCTGCCTTCTCCAGAGCAGACACCAGGGCTCCGGGCTCCCTGTGCCCTGCCCATAGTCATGTGCCTGTGCACAGCCAGGCCAGTCCCGGACCCGGCTCAGAGCATCTCTCAGGCCTTGCAGGAGCCGCTGGCATGTGGTTGAGGAGACGGTGTGCCGCCTTTGCACGGTGTGTGCCAGCCGTGTAGGAGTGCAGGGTGGTTCTCTGGTGGCACAAAGGGGCAATGTGCGGCCTGCTGGGAGGATGGCGGAGCAGTGCCGGCTGGGGCATGGCGGGGGAGGAGGGGGCACAGGAGGAACGGAGGGGACTGAGGTCCTGCTCTCCACCACGGCGCCCATCCCTGGACAAGCAGTGAGTGGAGAGAAGAGCCAGATGGACAGCTGGCTGGCCCAGAGGGTAAGTGGTCTTCACACGAGTGAGGATTCAGGGGGACCCCTGGCCTCGGGTACCCAAGTGCTCCCCGGCGTTTCTGGGTCGGGGCTGAGGGCAGTGCTCGGGGTGGGCCTCGTGGCCAGCCCAGCTGCCCTGTGCCCCGCAGGCCCCCCCGAGCAGCCCTTCCCCACCGGCGAGGCAGGTCCGCCACAGCGCACGGGGCAAAGCCGGCAGGGCGGAGCCTGAAACAGGCCTTTCTTCTCGATTTTAAGACTCGAGGACGGTACCACCGAGCTACGGGAACGGATGCTGCGGCTGGAGGAGGAGCTGGACCAGGAGAGGAAGAAGTACACCATGCTGCAGATCAGGCTGCGGAACTCGGAGCGGGCGCGGGAGGACGCCGAGAGGAGGAACCGGCTGCTGCAGGAAGAGATGGAGGAGTTTTTCTCCACCCTGGGCAACCTGACTGCAGGGGCCAGGGGGGCCCCACCGTGAAGGAGCCCCCTGCTCGCCTCCCTCCACAGCAGCAGGGGGGGTGCGGGCGGGGGCTGTGAGGAGGCTGAGCCCTGCCCCGTGGACCTCGGCAGTGCCCGGCACTCGCAGCCGCATGGCGATGGAAGCCTGAGCCCCTGTGCCACCCGGCTGCTGTGCTGACTGGCCGGTGCCAGAGGCGACAGGCCTATGGCCACAGAAACAGATGGTGCCTGGCACCCAAGTAGCACACCGGGGGCACTGCCTTCTTTATTAAACCCGCTCTGCAAGTGGATGCCTGACTCCTTCTTTAAGGTCAACACAGTGGGGTTACCGAGCGATCTCGGTGCTTTACGGGCAGGTGGGGTCCTCACGGTGCCTGTGGTGGAATGCCAGTGGGTGTGAAGCTCCCGAGGAGCCCAGAGTTGCCACAGCTCTGAAGCTGGAGTTCTGCAAGTCTGTGTCCTCAGCTCACCATCCCGTACTCTGGTCAGGGCATGTATGGGGGGCAACCACTTCCTCCCTCCTTCCGCTGAGGGCTGGAGCTGCACGGCTGGCCCTGGGCCCAGGAGCCTGCTTTCGTCTGCCTGGCCAGCCCCGCTCCAGGGGCTCATGCCTCAGGCTGTGCCCATCTCCCATGCAGACGCTTTCCAGCTCATGCTAATCCTCCCCAGTGCTCGTTCACCCTCCTCCAGCTCCTCCTCTGTTCAAAACTCCAATTAGGGCCCTGGCTTGTGTGTTTAGTGGTTAGAGTGCTGGTCCAGGCACCGAAAGATCAAGGGTTCAACTCCTGGCCAAGGGCAAGTACGTGGGTTACAAGTTTGATCCCTGGCCCTGGTCAGGGCATGTACAGGAGGCAACCAATGGATGTCTTTCACATCAATGTTTCTCTCTCTCCCTCTCTCCCTCCCACTCTCTCTAAAAAAACCAATAGAAAAAAATATCTATTGAGGATTTAAAAAAAAAAAAAAAAAAAAAGCTCCAATTAGGACAAATCTTCAAGGAAAGCCTTTCCTTGGCGCCACTTGCAGCCTGAGCCTGGCCGGAGCTCCGCGGCAGGGGCCACAGGCGGCACCAAAGAAGACCCTCCGAGAGGAGCCCTGGCTGCTGGGGCCCTGGCAAGACCAGCAGTGTCTCTTCTGCTGCCAGTGTCCTTACAGCCCCTCTCATTACCGGGAGCAGTCACTGCAGTGGGGTTTTTGGAGGGTGGTGAGGAGTGGAGTCACCCAAGTGCTCCAGTTTCTGACCCCTATCTCTGGAGAAGTCTGAGGCCCAGAGCCCACCGCTCAAATCAGGCCTAAAGGGCACCTTGTGGTGAACAGGCGGCCAGAGCTCTGCTGGAGAGCTCTGCCCCGGCCCCGGCCATCCCAACCGCATTCCCCAGAAGGTGGAATAACTCCCGCCTCTCTGCTTCAAGGAGGAAGGAAATGCGAGGTGACTGACTGCTCACAGCCGCCCAGGAAGGTCGGAACTGGCCCGCACGCCCCTTTCGGAGGAGGAAGTGGAGTTAAGTGGGGAACCCATGTGTTCCTGAGCTCCACTGTCCTGGAATTCTGCCAGCTCTGATCTGGAGAGAAAATGCCACCAGGCTCCTGAAGGAACGGAAAATGCCAAAGAGGGTTCATGAATGGAAAGAGAGGCCATCAGCCCTTAGCCACTAACACTGGCAAGGGCAATGGGCTCAACTGCCCTCCAAGTCCTTTGTCAAAACCAGCTCATAAGCCGCATCTGCCTCCTGCTGGCAAAACTAGGATCTGCAAATAAATCTCATTACTCCTTATAAAAAATAAAAAATCCCTTTACATTGCAACAAAAAACAATTAGGAAAAACTTACCTAAGAAGGTAAAAGACCTTCACTGAGAAAATTATAGGATGTTGAAAAAAGAGATAGAGGAAGATATAAACAAGTGGAAGAATATGCTGTGTTCATGGATTGGGTAGAATTAACATCATTAAAATGTCCATAGTACCCAAGGCAATCTACAGAATCAATGCAATCCTTATTAAAACATCAGTGGCATATGTCATAGACCTAGAACAAACTCTCCAAAAATCCACATGGAATAAAAAGAGACCGCGAATAGCCTCAGCTATCTTGAGAAAGAACCAAGTTGGAAGGACCATAATACCAGATCTCAAGTTATACTACAAAGCCCCTGTAATTAAAATAACCTGATACTGGCACAACAGGCATATAGATCAATGGAACACAACGAAGACCCCAGAAGTCAACCCAAGCCATTATACTCAATTAATATTTGACAAAGGAGGCAAGAGCATACAATGGAGTCAAGGCAGTCTTTTCAGTAAATGGTGCTGGGAAAATTGGACAGATACATGCAAAAAATGAAACTAGACCACCAACTTATACCATACACTAGAATAAACTCAAAATGGACAAAAGACTCAAATGTAAGTCATGAAACCATAAAAATCCTTGAAGAAAACATGGGCAACACAATATCAGATACCTCATGCAGCAGAGTTTTCACAGATATAGCTCTTAAAGCAAGAGAAACAAAAGAAAATGAGACTACATCAAACTAAAAAGCTTCTGCACAGCAAAAGAAACCAGCATCAAAATAAAAAAGAACCCACCGTATGAGAGAACATATTTGCCAATGATACATCTGACAAGTGATTAATTTTCAAAATATATAAAGTACTCATATAACTCAACAAAATGAAAAGAAAAAAAATCCAATTAAAAAGTGGACAGAGGACCTTAATAGACACTTCTCTAAAGAGGACACACAGATGGCCAAGAGACATATGAAAAGATGTTCAACAGCACTAATTATCAGAGAGGTGCAAATTAAAATGATAGAGAGATATCACCTCACACCTGTCAAAATGGCTACCACCAATAAATCAACAAATGACAAGTGCTGGTGAGAATGTGGATAAAAGGGAGCCCTAGTGCACGGCTGGTGGGAATGCAGACTGGTGCAGCCATTGTGGAAAAACAGTGTGTAGTTTCCTCAAAATATAAAAAGTGGAACTGCCTTATGACCCAGGAATATATCCCAAGAAGGCTGATACATCAACCAGAAAGAAAGTATGCACCCCTATGTTCATAGCAGCACAATTTACAATAGCTAACATCTAGAAACAGCCCAGGTGCCCATCAGTAGAGGAGTGGATAAAAAGCTGTGGTACATTCATTACACCATGGAATACTATGCAGAAGTAAAATATAAAAAAGAAATTAAAAAAAGAACATCTTACCCTTTGAGACAGCATGGAGGGACCTGGAGAGTAGTAGTGTTAGGTGAAATAAGCCAGTCAGAGAGAGACACGTATACATGATCTCACTCACAGGTGGAACCTAATGAACAAAATACACTGATGAACAAAATAGAACCAGAGACATGAAAGCACAGGCCATACTGTGGAATCTCAGAGGGAAGGAGGGAAGGGTGAGTAGGAGGAGATTAACCAAAGACCTTGAGTGGAGGGGTCAATGGGGGGGAGGGGGAGGAGGAACAGGGGATATGTGTAATACTTTCACCAATAAATTAAAAAACAAAATAAAATTCACCAAGTCATTTTTATAAAATACATGAAGTCAGCCATTTCAGTAGCACTGGGAGACACTGTCACCCACCCTCATCTGACAGTCAGCAGCCCTGGCTCTGCGAGGCGGACTTGCCCTCATTACCCAAACTCGCTGAGCTCAGGCTGGCCTGGGTCTGCAGGCATCACAGATCCACCCTCTGGGGCCTGTCTGGCGAGGGCTTTTAGTTCTCCTCACTCAGCCTTCCCGTTTCTCTCAGGACAGTGTGATTCTTTATTCTGCATCTCCAGCCCATTTGTCAGCTTTTCATCCTGCCTCAGGGCCACTCCATCCTCAGCAATCCGAGCAGCGAGCGCAGTCTCACACTGTGACACCCAACAGGAGTCCCCCTCCCTTTCCTCTGTCAGCAAGAGGCAGGAGTAGGCTCTGAGCTAGGACTGCTCTCCCAGCTGCCCGAGATGTGCAGTGTGCCCACACAGACTTCACCCAGGTCCGTAATCCGAAAGGACGTCGGAAACATTCTTCCTGCTTAAGTTTTCCTTGCGGCCCAGCACCTCCTGCAGCCCGCTAACTCTTGAGTGTGCCGACGGAGGGCACCTGAGCCCCTGCCCATTCCTGGGGAGAAGGACCCGCTGTCCGCTGGGCCCTGAGGCTTCTCTGTCACCACCTTCCCCGCCTTGAGTCCAGCCCATCTGGTGTCCCTTGCCAGGACCCTCCCAAACAGAGGTCTGCACAGAGCACTCCCCATTCTTAGGAACTACAAGCTCCTATACCTTTAAATGAAGACAATGCCTCCAAAATGGTTCATTCATTGTCACTCAGGCCCATGCGAGGTGTCCCCGTGAGTCCCTCTCCTCAGAGCGCAGGGCTAGGGCATGAGCGCATTCACTGACGGAATGAAACGTTAGACAGAAACCCAACGTTTACAAAGTGCATTTGAAGTAACTTTTAAGTTTAAAATAAAGTCCAGCGACACATTGGTATATTCCTTGTAAAAGCTAAAAGAAGTTTGTAAAGCACAAACCAGTACAATTAATTTTCATTCCCATAGAGCCAACGGGCCTTCTCAGAACAACACTAAGCTAATGCAGCCCTGGGGATGGGACCAGTTCCTCCTGTACTTCCTCCAAGCTTCCCCTGGGGCTTGGCAGTGACTGCTGTGGCCCAGCGCTCAGCCCCTGGACAGTGAGCTCCCCACAGGGTGCCGTCTGCCTGGACTCGGAGCAGAGGCGTTGAGTGCAGGGGAGGGGCAGCATGGATACAGGACCATCTGAGCAAGAGCTGAGCGAGATGGAGTGTCAACTCCCAGGCTGGACACAGGCTGGTGAGCCGCCAAGCAGCCTGCCCGATGTCAGCAGTGGGAAGGTACGGGCCAAGCCAAAGCCCCTGATTTGTCTGGAAAGAGATGCTTTTTAAGGACTTGTTTTCGCTAAGTGGCCACAATGGCTGTTCTCTCGCATGCTTACCAAGAACTAGGTTAAGGGTGTTGAAGCAACTTCCCTTAAAGAAGTTTCTGCAGTGATTTCAAACAGCAGAAAAGCAAGGCCAGATAAACCAGGAAACCAGGGCCTGGGTTAGGCTCCTGTCTACACAGAGCCTGAACCTAGGAAACCTGCCCCCGTGCTACCCTTCATCCCCACCTGCATGAGGTTAAAACTGCCCGGAAAGACTTTTTAGCAAAAATACAGATAATTTTCAATGAAAACACTTAATTTCATCATGTTCATACCACTTTTTCTTTTTTATTTAAAATATTATAACCAATGAACATACTAG